AAGGTAGGCGGAGGAGAAATAGCTGTGGGAATGCTGGGGCTGCTCCCTTGGAGAGATTCTAGACACGTTGGTGAATGCCAGCTTACCGACATCAAAGAGGATGGTGCTTGTGACGGAGAGGGTGAAGATGTTCAGAGGAAGTGAGGCCAGCAAGAAAACTTCACGTTAGTGAAAGGAACCCTGGGGATAGTGCATGACATGGAAAGCACTGAGGATAAAATGTTGACAGCTGATCCCAACTTGGGAATGTGACAATTCACAAAGGCAGAGAAAAGATGCTCACTCCATGTTGCCATTTACATGACAAGAAGAAGGTGGCAAGCACTGTTCAAACTACTCTTGATAAGGTTTTTAGGAAGAAATAAAATATTTTAATCCTCAGTGTTTCTAATGCTTTTGATTACAGTGTACTAAACAAATACTGGTTTTACATTTTTTCATTTCCCTATATATTTGTAACTAGCAGTAAGAAAGTTTTCAGCATTTTGACAAAAATCTTTAAAGGTCACAGAGCAATCATAATTTTGCCATTGTTTGTTAAGATGGCTTTGCATGATCATTTTTATGGTCTGGCTCTACCACGCGAAGTGAGGATTGCTGGTCATTGTGGCCTGTATCTGGACAGAAGCCAAGGTGGCCGAGCTCTGCTGTAGAAAGATGTTTCTTCATTGTTCCCGGCTTCAACCTTGATTATTTCTTCATCTTCTGCTCTTTGCTGTGTTTACAACAGTACAGTGAGATTGATGTGACAAAACTACTTCCTTCTGCTTGTTCCCCTGTGTCGGGGTTCCTGCCCGTGCTCTGTCTGTGGTCACCCGTATTAGTGCATCTACTGTAATTAATCTGCTTCCCTGACTCTCTCCCTGGCTGGGGTCTTAGGGGCAGAGACTGGCCTGTGGGTATCTCTGTCATCTTTTTATTCCCAGTTCTTATCATCTTACATGTTAAGTCATCAATAAATATTCTTTGAGTGAATGTGGAGCATATTATTTAGAGCAAGCACAGGGATCAGTTTGCTTTTACTCTTAACAAATCAAGTTCTGTTATAGGCCATTAATGATTTTTTTTCAGAAATATGTTTTGCAAAATCTTTTGTATGAGTCAGTCATGTATTAACTTCAGTGAATGATTAATAAATATTAACAAATGGCCATGTCTAACAAAGAAACTGTCAATACTGATATAGACTATTAAAGCTGAAGACAGACTGTATTGCTTTACATTTTTTTGGTTGCAAGTAATAGCTGCCTTATGTTAAAAAAAAGGTAGATAAATGAATAAGAAATATATTAGAAAGATAGTGCAGTTTTGTATTTTTTCCCAGAATCCAAGGAAGAGTAGAAAAGCCATGGCTTGGGAAGGACATCAGTGGGCCATCTCTGAGCCCTTTGACAGTGGGAGTTTAAAGTTCTTCCTTTAATATCTCTACTGTTAATGGGCCATGGGTCCCAGTTCCCAGCCTCTGTGTCTCTCTGTTCAAATTCTAAATTCCTAGAAACAGAATATCATTAGCCCAACTATAGCCTGGGAGATGGAGACAAAGAGTCCAATCCTGGTAACTTGGATCCACCACTTTCCTGGAGAAGGTATAATTTTCCAGAGCTAAGCAGGTATTTTAAAAAGGTGATTACTACAGTGTTTCACTCTAAAGTGTGTATTTTTTATTCCCATAGGTTTTCACTTTGCTTAGGAATTGAAAAGTAGTCTTTCTAAATTAATTTTTATAAATGGAAAGCATTCTACATACTATCCAAAGAAATTCTCTAGTGAGTGCTTTTATAATATAGGTACTCCATTTTTTCAATGTAGATTTTATTATTCAGGTGTGGTAAGGCCCAACAGTTCAGGGGACAACTGCCATTGAAAAAACAGTTACAGTTCTTAAGAGAAGAGGGTACACCCTGCCACACAGGGCCACATGGTAGCGCCAGTGTCTGTCAGGAGGCAGAGGGAGGTGGGGAAACATGGGCAAGAGCCTTTTCTATGGTTTCCATGGGAAGGATTAGGAGAGGTAGGGTAAGCAGGTTTAGGATTGGCTAGTCTATATAATTTCAGGGGGGATCTGGGAGGCGGCTTGTAGTTGTCTGGTGCCCGGCCCTGGGGTGATTAGGGTAGGGGGCTTGTAGCCCAGAGTGTAAGAGCCAAAGAAGGTGGTTGGGGCATGGGCTCTGGATTGGTTGGTTTGCATATGAAAGGTGTGATCCCTGGAGAGTTATTTGCTCTCTCTAGGAATTAGCTAACCCTGGGAGGGGCAGTCCTCCTGGTGTCAGCAAAGCCCGAGATGGCAAAGCATCAGAAACATAGAAAATAAAAAGGTGCAATTAATACAACTTCCCACGTTCAATCAGTTTGTAAGTTTCCATGTGAAATCCAGTTTTTTAAGTCCTTCAAATGGCTTGGGAAGCCTTACCGTGTCACAGCCTTCTGCCGTGAACTTGACTTTCTCTCACCCTCCTGGCCTCCCACCTCCCCCCGGGTCACACTGGCTCCCTTGCAGTCCCGTGAACACATCCGGCACACAGCAGGGGCTTATGGCAGTCTATCTGGAGTGCTTTTCCTTCAGACTGGACTTTCGTTTCTGTTCCCTTCAGGCTTTTGCTCACCTGTCTGCACGAGGCCTACCCTGGCCGCCTGCTTACACGGCCACCACGCCCGCTCCTGAGCCCTCGCTCTGCGCTGCTGCTTTTTACATAGCACGCGTCACTTACTAACATTCCATCGAATGTGCTTACGTAATATGCCTGTTGTTTATTGTTTGTCTGTCTGCCACTGCAGTGCAAGGACTCCTTATTTTGTTCTTCAGCATACCCTAAGTAGTTAAAAACGGTGTTTTTAAAAACTAGTGATGTCTGTAGCAACATCCAACAGGAGAATAGAGTTGTGGTCTTACTGTATTAGTCAAATATTGAGACATAATGGCAGCAGTGATATACACATTGTTAAGATTCTGATTTAGAAATTCATATTTCAGCCAGACAGATGAGACACAAGTTTATTCACCTTTTCTGACTTCTAGGCTCTGCACATTGAGTTTCTCATGTTAACACCACTACTACCCCAAGTGAAGGGCTGTTGACTTTTTGCACCAACCAGTTTATCCTACCTGATTTTTCTTATTGTGGTATCCTACCTGATTTTTCTTATTGTGGCTCTCTTACTAATAGTTTGGTTTGAAGGCTTTCTTTTCATTATCAAAATCCACATGGCTGTGCCGTTCACTTCTCCTAGGAGAGCCACCTCCCATTTCTTCCTAGAAGGAGCTCTGGCTGGAGGTTTTGGGAGCATCCTAGGCTGAAGAGTGACAGTCTCTGGCCAGGGTGAGCCTTGGCCAGCATGGCAGCCTCAGGTGTTCCTGGCGTGTGATTTTAAGCCACAGACTAAGAAGAAAATGTCAGAATCATGCTGAAAAGTATATTATTTCTCTCCTGGAAACGCAGCATTTGAGAAAACAAGAAATAATTCCAACAAAGTATAAAACAAATAGCATTATGATACATTCAGATATTTATTTAAGGAATTATTGGGGAAGTTTAGGTATGAAATGGTATTGTGGTTTTGTTCTTTTAAAAAAGAGTCATTATCTTTCACAAAAGCATATGAATGAAATAAGATGTTTGAATTTGCCACAATCTAATACAAGTGTTGGGAAAGTCCGTAGGGAGAGTGATGGACTCAGGTTGGCCAGGAGTTGGTTATTGCTAGAGCTGGGTGATGGGTACGTGAGATTCATTATATTATTGTTTTCACTTTTCTATATATTTGTAATTTTTCAATTAATAAAATATGTTTCAAATGAATGGTAATGGTTGGATAATTTGGCTTGTTTCTGATTTTAAATGAAACACATTTGTTATTTCACCATGACAAATGATATTGACTATTGGCTTAAAAGGTCTTCCTGTTGAGAAACTACCCTTCTATTTTTAATTGTTTAGACAAAAAGTGGATGTGGAAGAAAGAATATTAAATGCTTCATCAATATCTTGAGATTATTATAGGTTTTTCTTATTAGACCTATTGCTGGGAGGTAATCTTCTATTAATAGTAAATCCCTCTTACATTTCTCAGAAAACCCCATAAGTAGTTTCTCTTTCACCCCTCAAATATTTACCGAGCAGCTAGTAAGTGCCAGGCGGGTGATGGGCACGGGCAGTACAGCTGGGAATGGGACAGGCGACGAGTCCTTGCTCTCCTGAAGCTTAATTCTGTGGTGAGGAAGACAGACCATAAATAAATAAAGAAGCTCAGTGGTGGCGAGGCTGTCTCTGGCTTTCGAGCTGACAGAGAATCTGGGCTCTTGAGCCCAACGGGTGATGAGGGGAAAGTTGCATAAAATATTGCCACCTTCTTTCCTGCGGGTGGGGCTGCTTCCCAGTGAGGCAAATAGAGGCGAATTTTCCTCAGTGTATCTCCATCAGCTTCGTATTTCATGATCATTCTTTCTAGATTCTGGCAAGGATTGGGTGTTGGAATTTGTTTTTGAGGTTGTTTTGAGTTCCGTTACTTCCCTATGTCTCTACAGGTATTTTAGTGCTAAGTTCAGAGAGGTGGCCTCCAGGGACTTCAAGGCAAATGCCACTTGCACTGGAACCAAATACATGTACTGTATATGTGAACCATAATCTAACCTGTGTTAATTATCCTGTTAATAATTTTATTGCTTATCTTACTTAAAAACAAAGCTGATTAGGAAATTAAAAATACTTGTAGTAGTAAATAACAGCTACCACCAGAGTGACCGAGCACCTATCCTGTGCTCATTCAGTTCTCACAATTAGCTTATATGGCACTTTCTTATCCCATCTCATGGCAGAAATTACAGGCCAAAGAGATAAAAAAAAAAAAAAAACTTGTTCAAAGACCAAGTAACTAACCGGAGGGGCTGGGATTTGAACCCACGTGGCTTCCCTCCATTCGTGACCAGTATACCATAGGCCTGTTTGAATACAGTCTCTGAGGAGGAGGATTTCTGTCAAGATTCTCTTTTCGTTGTGTTTCAGGTTTTGCTGATCTTTGCAAAGGAAGATAGTCAGAGTGATGGCTTCTGGTGGGCCTGTGACAGAGCTGGTTATAGATGCAATATTGCTCGGACTCCGGAGTCAGCCCTTGAATGCTTTCTTGATAAGCATCATGAAATTATTGTCATTGATCACAGACAGACTCGGACCTTTGATGCAGAAGCAGTGTGCAGGTACCTTCCCTAATTTAATATGCTTCATAAATGTTTACTTAACAGCTTAAAATGAACTTCATTTATAGATGTCCTTAGTTCTATCTGAAATACTTCTAAAACATGTGTTAATGTTCCTAAGTAGTCTATACAGATTTCTATGATGAAAGCTATAGCTCCTTCCTATGGATTTATCTCTCCTCTCCCATTTTTCCACATTTGAGTTGCACTAAATTTAGAGGTGTGAGCTAGGCTCCCCTGGAAACTTCAGGGTATTCCCCCCACCCTGTGCATTGCTCATAAAACACATTAAAATTCACACAGTTCTCATTACACAGATATGGTTTGGATTTAAACCAGCTATTTTAATCTTCATTATTCTATCCCAAAGTGAACATCAGAAATGTGTGAAATATAAATTTTCTTCTGCCTGACACAGATGGGTGGATCCCACAAGAGGCTTCCCAGTCATGGAGCGAAGGCAGCCACTTTGCAGCAGCAGCAAACCTTCCAGGGACCCAAACCCCTGGCTTGTTTACAGAAATGCTTGCGCTCTGGGGAGGAAGCACAGGCCTGTTCATAAATAAATGCACAGTCATGAGAGTTAGCTCTGGATGAACTGATTCATTTAGCAGAAGTGGAATGCTTTGAAGCTAGACAGGAAGAGGTCACTAATTAAATGCTAGACCAGGACAGAGTCCAATTGCATGTAGAGCTGGAATTTTCTTGAATATTAGTAGGTGAAATGGAAGGTGGGGAAATGGTTTCTGAGAACCTTTGGTACCCTGACAGGAAATTAATGGATTAAGAGAAGTTTCTTATCATAGGGATCACTCTGCTAGTCTTTAATGATTTTCAGTTTCCCAAAGAAGAATTTTTCTGAAGTACCTGTTTTTAAAATGTTTTAGTGGTCTCAAATAACCTCATCTTTCTGAATAAAAATATTTTCCTATTTAATAATATATATAAATATACATATAAAGTATTTGGATGCTATTTTTAGTATGAAGAAATATTTTTTAAATGATTTTCAGGGTAGAATTGGATCCTGTATAACTACGTATGTCTGATTTTTCTTGGCCTCCACTCACTTTTTCTTACTTGGGTTTGTAGTAGAAATCCCACAATCCTTTTTCATACGTGGAATGAGTTAAGACAAGCTTTAGTCGTACAGAAAAAATTAATAAGAAATCTTTTAGTTCAGGCAAAGGCCCTATTTAGCAGATAAGCTTTACATTCTTCTTTGAACATAAAGAGATAGAATTTTGTTTTCTAACAAACGTACTTCTCTCTTAGCTGCACCGAAAAATAAAGGGATGGCTGCAGTTCAGAAGGCAGACGTGTGCATCTGGCAGTGTGTTTACTGACCACTGCTGGTCGTGTTGAGGGTGGCCAGGTTCTGAGTGCTTGACTGCCAGCACGCGTTCCCCAGGGAGAGGGGCGGGGGACACACTCCTGGCAGATGTGCATTCTTTATTGTCATCTGTGGCCCTAGATCCCTGGCCTTTGAGCTAGGAGTAGACTTAAGCCTAACGTGTGTCCGCGGACCCCAGTCCACCTACCCTCAGGTCCCCGTGAATCCCCTCCTTTGGAGGGATGAGAGGGAAGAGGCACGCGGCAGGAAGCAACCCAAACAACAGAGGCCAATCCTGAAGGAAACCAAGGGACGGCATGTCATGGCCCAGTATGCTCATGACATGCCTGAAGCTCCAGAGTCATCCCTTAGAACGCAGCCCAGCAGTCTGTCCTGCCGCCTCACTGAGGTGGGAGCGGCTGAGGGAAGGTGAGAAGTGCTTAACAGTGTGTCCGCAGAGACCAGAGCATGCCTCTGAAACATGGTGTATCTTCTTCATTAGGTGCTAACTGGTGTTTCTGCTGAATATCAGGAGGCTACTAAGTGTAAAATATTAATAAGAGTAGCTTCACCTTAGCAGGACCAGCCCCTGTGGGGTAGCTAGATGGGAGTAGCCTGTGCCAGCATGAGAGGAGTGTTGACTTACCCGCCATCCCCCGCCCCTGCACCGTGAATTGCGGCATTCTCCCCAAAGGAGCTCTTTCACGTGTCATTTATTCACAAGGGGAGACCTCACTTCCTGGGAAAATATGGCAGCCGATCACTGTGAGCCTTCCACCCACACAGAGTGAGGTCTCAAGGAATAGGACATGGAGAAAGTACATTTTGAGAAAAGTCAGGAAATTTTGGAGTTGAAAAGGATGAAGCAGCATGAGCCGGGGCTGTCCCTGGGGGAGCAATAGTGCAAACAGGTTAAAATGGAGAGGAGCAGAAATGTCCATAGCTAGAGAGAAAAACAAACACATGTTGTTTCACAAATTTCTCAGGAGTGATTCTGTTCCTAGAGATGGTGGTTCCCTTCTGAGGGAGCTCAAAATACACAGAGGCCGGACCTAGGAAGTAGATGAAAACAAGCATGTGGGTTTGCACCACGCTGCAAGTGTACAGCCCTTTATTACACTTGTTCAATTGACAACCCCCTGAACAGGTTAGGCCAGAATCAGCTATAGCACAGCCCCTCTTCTGAGAAGATTCCCAGCCCTCAACACTCCATATCCTTATGTGTTCTCATCCTGTTTAATTCCTAGGGAATAAATTTACAATATACAGGTGGCTCTAGTACAACAAATATTATTAGACAGTGATAGTCACCATATTGCAACATTTCTCATCTGCAGCTGATGATTGAGTTGTTTAAAGTATTCAAGCACAAACAACTAGGAATGAAGAATTTGGGTGGCTCTTTGTACTATCTTTAATAGGCTTCAACCTGCATTTGTACATCCAGCTGCCAGCAAATGTTTTAATTTTTATTATAAGGTCAACTTTCTGAACTGCCTACTATTTTAAAAGGAAAAAGATCCAACCCGATTAGCTCCCCCAGGTACAAACTGATAAGAAGAGGCTTGTAGAACTGCCAATTTTTTTGCAGAATGGAATTTCAATTTAAAAAAAAACCATGGAATTTAAGTGGAATTTGCCAATTTTTGAAGTGGAAAATTGGCAGGTCTGGCCTGTTGGATAATTGCCTAGAAGTTCAAAAACTTTTTTTTTTTTTTTTAAAGTGAAGAGATTGTCCTAATCCACAAGGGCATCTTTCTTTGTTGTCTTCCACGTGTCTTGAGACCTTTTCTTTAGAGAAAGATTTGATTTTGTGCCATTTTCAATGTGAAGAAGTTCCACATTCATTTTATGTTAACAAAGCCCAGATCACCTTCTTTGACTTGGAGTCTTCTCATTGCAGGTCAATCCGGGCCACAAATCCCTCCGAGCACACGGTGATCCTCGCAGTGGTTTCACAAGCGTAAGCTCACCTCCCGTCCCCGGCTGGGAGTAGTACTGCTCACTCTGAAACATTTGCCTGATGTAATCCAGTTTTTGAGCTAGCAAAGTAATGGGCACGTCTCGAACATCAACTTTAAATCTTGCTTTGGGGGGTTTATTTCACAAGTTCCTGGAAATATTTAGGTTTTTCTCTCTGTCATCTATAATTGCCGTTAGCACATACTCACACACCTCAGGAAAAAAAGTTTGCTCGTCATCTGCCAGAAATGAATGGAAAATTTGAGGAGGAGGAGGTCTGGAGAGAATATTGTTCCACTTTATCTTTTCTCTTTGAAGCAAAGAGATGGGCTATGCTTGTTTTTCATTTAAGAAAAAACAAATTTTCTTCATGTTCAAGCATGAGAACAAGGAGGTACTAAATCCACTACAAGGAAAGGTTTGTGAAGTTGCCGTTGGGATGGTTATGTGGCCAGAAACAGGACAGTAGTGGGTTTATGCCAGTGTCGGAAGGTGAAGAAGAGGGACTGAGCTGTGTAGGTGCAGTGAGACTAGGGGGCGAGAAACGGCTCTGCCGGCTTTATCGTCTGAAACGGCCAGCACTTACAATGAAGGAGCCCACAGGAAGAAAAGTTGTTTGTACAAGCCGCAGTGGTGGGAATCTTGGCAAGCAACAAAATTTGTTGTAGTCACTTAATGGCTGTCATTAGCTTCAGAGAGAATAAGACCTTAATTAGGGCTCAGGACCTGTTGGACTCGGCCTCACTGGGGCATTTGGCACAGATTCTGTGGCCACGAATTCAGACAAGAAAGCGTAGGGCTCCCCCTAGACAAACCTGGCCGGGGGAGACTGAAATACTTCAGTCCAAAGCCGTACGGGGACTGCAGGAGATCATGGCTTCCAAATCTTGCCCTTACCAAAGACTCCTACTTACGGACTAGTGCTGGAGTCTCTTCTTAGGAGCCGTGTCTCTTCACTGTGACACCTACCATGGGCTGTGCTCCAAAAAAAGTGAAGAAATTGTCCTCATTGTTTCCTTACACCTTGCCATTCTGGTAGGTGGTAAGAGCCGAGGGGAATGAGAGAGGGGAACTGAGATGTGATATCGGCCTCCTTCAACCATCTTTCTCACGGTTATGTTCTGCACCCTGAGATCTGGACAGGGTCTTGCAGTCTCGAACATGGATACCAGAAATGTACCAGGCCACACGGCAATTTTCCCAAGCCTGGCTTATTCCATGGGCCCAAGAAAAAACACTTTTTGTTCCTATTCATATAGCAACAATGTTTACTCGTCCTTGACAAATAATGCTTTACTGTGACTTTTTTGTTATGATTTTCACCTGTTTTTTCTGTTTTTCATTATAAAATATTTCATACAGAGAGAGCAATAATAAAATGAGCGCCTATGTCTGTGTCACCCAGCTTAAGAAATAGAACATTATTAGTGCCTTTGGAACCCTCCCCCCCCCACCACCACCCCACCACTTATAGAGAGAAGGTAGAACCTTGCATTCCTAAGGGAAAGAAGGGAGTAGGTTGGTCAGCTTTTCCCCGCAGGGCAGGAATCAGCTAATGGTAATGCCCAGCTAAGCTCAGGGTTTCTCTTCCTGTTTCTATCTGCATTATCACCCAATCCCTTCTATTCCGTTTTTCCTCCCTGCTTTTCAGGGTGTGTACCCGCTGTTACTTGCTGGCTGTCTCAGGACACTGTTTCCCTCTCAACAGTGACGGTGTCTTCATGACAAGCTGACCCTCACCCCTACCTTGTACTCAGACTGAAGTCCTGACACCCAACTGAGGGCTCACTGTAGGAAACTCTCTTGTGAAATGAGTGACAATTACCCATTTTTGTTTTCTCTTCTTCCCTTCTAACTCTGCGTTCCTGCTGGCACTTTCCGTTTGGCTGTGGGATCCCGTAGCCTGTAATGCTGCTGTCTTCCTCACACTGAGAGTTGCACCCGGCGAGTTCTTGGGTGGGAGTTATGCTTCCAGAAAATTTTGGGACAGCACAGGGGCCAGTGGTCTCAGGATTAGCAGTGTACCTCATGTGTCCCTTTATGGGACTGCTCCCATACATTTTCCCTAACCCCAAAGGGCAGCCCAGAGTTGGAGAGGGCCACTCGTGTACCAGGGGTGACACTTCCAGGCACACTGCCAGAGTTTTTTCCATTTTTGTTCTTTTTGTGTCTGGCAGGCAGAGGTGGGGTGTGTCCCTGAAGGCAGGCGTGCCCCGGGGGCACGTGCTGGTCAGGAAGCCCCTCTTAGAGCTAACGCTGCATGGCCTCATTGCTCTCTCTCCGTGTTTCAGTGTGAGGAGTCCTGGTTTGTATCTGCTGAGTGACCACATTTTCTGCTTTGCTGCAGATCGGATGACCACGAAGAGGCCTCAGTTCTTCCTCTCCTCCACGCAGGCTTCAACAGGGTACGTACAAGACCAGCCGGCCCCTCTCTCAGGTGCAGGCGCCTGAGCCCTGACTCTCCCACATCAGCTGAGCAAAACAGCCACAGAAAACTGTTGAGGGAATCAGCACAGGACTGCTAGGAAAAGGACTTAACTGTGTTCTCATGGGAGAGTAATGAGCAACTGCTAGTCCAGCTTTTTGCCTTTTTCTCCATATATCTTAGCAACAGATATGTAATGACATGAAAATACATCTTATTAAATCAGATCAAAATTCTGTAGTCCCAAAGTAATCCAATTTAAATAAGTTCAGTCAATTAGACTTAATATGCGTGTGATTATATATAGATAAGTCCACCAAATTGGCACCCAGGATTCTATTCCCCAGGGCTGGCCAGAGCTTACACCCTAGGGACAGGCCCATGGTGACAATGGCATCCTGTGAACCCCTGGCTTAAACCATTAACATCAGCAAAGGAAAATTCTTTGAGTGACAACTACATGAAGAACACTAATAAGCAACTTGAAGATTAAGATTGATTACTCCAAAGAGACATACTAACAAACAAAATAACTAGGCTTACCCAGTATCTCAAGGTCTTTTGATAGCAATCTGACTCTCAGATGGTGTGATGTATTCCTTCAAAAATAGGATAGTGCCTTGTCTTGTGAATTGTGAATATTCGCATTCACAATGCACTTAATGCATTCACTGAGTGCATTAAGTAATGGTGCTTTGCTACCCTGCGCTTAAAAAAAATATATTCCTCTTGGTTATAGAAGTAGAAACTACCTTTGTGATGCAGTCGTTCTGTGCTTTGCTATGCCTCAGTGTGGAAGGAGCAGTGCTGTAGGAAAGATTCCAGGTGGTGTCGTGGTTCACAGTGTGTAACAGAAATGAATGTTTCTGGCTAGCAATACTCCTCACTCTCCTAACACCTTCCTCTCCTCTGTCTCTTCTCACAAAGGTTGCCATTTGGTTCTGAAAGCTATTGTTACGTGCTGAGTCTTAATGACAATGCATAAGACAATGCTTCTGAGTTTTGGAATGGAGAGTTGCAAAAGGGAAGTTGGCACAGAAGCTGTGTGGCTGAGACTTATTTTCTTTACTCGCCCGTTTTCTCAGAAATAACTCTAAAATATGCACAGTCTTCATAGATCTAGGTGTGATACTGACCACCCCTCTTCCATCGCGATGCTGTCCTTTTCGAATCTGAGTGAGGACCTCTTGGAGTGTGAGGATGTAGGTTTTCCTCATTACTTGGGGGATGATTGGAGAATGGCCATGACACACGATAGGTTTTAGCAATTAGTACCCATGTAAGTGCTGTTGAGTTTCCTTTTGGAATTCTGCTTTGAGTTCAGTGATCTGCCTCCAGTTGATTTAGAGACTGGTGTCATTTGAAGCGATAGCATCTTGTCTGGAGGGCTTTGAGATTGCACATTTGCTCACAGGAAAGCCTGGGAGAAACTGTTAACACTCTTTGGGTGCAAATGCTATTTAAGAGAATTTAACGAAAGTTCCACTGTTTCTTTTTTATGCATTTTGCAGCCTGTCCCTGCTCCTCTGGAAGATTTCGTTTCTCTCTGTCCAGATATGTTATTGAGTTGTGCAGTCAGCCACAGTGAATGAAACCCTTGGTGGGGGCATGAGGAACAGTCCCTATCAGGGACCACCCGTTATTCTGATCGAGGCCATTTACCAGTTAGGTCAGGTGCCCCTATAGCGTGGGTTTTTTCCAGGGGAAGCCCGCCGCACCTATGACAGCTTTCCCTGAGTTACCGTGGCACCCCATCAGCTAAGGCTGATCTCCAGGTGGCTGTTTTCCTTTTTTGCACAAAATCTTGTCTTTGGCAACTCTCTACCCAAGCACCTTTCTAAATATATATGCCAGTTATTCTTGCCTTCCATGAGGTTGTTTCCCATCTCCAAGTTGTTTTGATTGTATTAAATCATCTGCTGAAACTCAGCCCTGTGTTGCTAGCTAATTGGCCAGCCCTTCGGTCTATGGTCCCTGAGAGGGGATCCAGGAACAAATTGTGCCTTCAGATATCCCACAACAACTCCCCTTGAAGCCTTTGGAGCTCCGCATAAGTGGCCGACTGTATTGATGCTCAGTCCACGCGAAGCCTCTTAGAAACCAGCATCTCAGCAAAGGACAGTTGCAACTGTTCTTCTATCAACTTTGTGTGCCTCCTTTTCTATTTGAAATGATGCTTATTTGATTCTACAAGTGTTTATGGAGCTCCGACCACATACAATGCCATGTTCCAGGCACGCCCGGGGCACAACTGCAGGACGCGGTTCTCCCTGGAGAGGTGTCTTGTGGAGTAGGAAGAGGGGAGCTATGATTTATTATTTGTCAGACCCAGTTCCCGATGATTTACTTAATCCTCATCTACATAGGAGGGATTCAGTGTTTTCTCCATTTTTGCAGAGGAGGAAACAAGCTCAAAACAACTGAATAGCTTGCCAGAGCTCACATTCATGATAAAGTCGAGATAAATGCATGTTGTCTGACTCCAAACCCCATATTGGGTCCACTAACGGAGTATTTCCCAAATGGTTTGACAGAACACTAGTGTTCCAAATGCTCGTGATAAGTATTCCATGAGAAAGGGCTTCTGTGGTCAAATAAATTTGGGGAATCAGTGAAGACTTGATTCCTCCTCCTCCCAGCCCTGAGCATCCACAGTGCACATGAGCAGCATTGCATGTCAGCACATTGAATGCTCTGAGAAGTCCTGTAGGAAGGAAACCTACTAACTCTGTTGGTCCCAACATTTTCAAAATTTATTTTATCACAGAGTTGTTTTTTATGTTTTTGCAAAGGTAACAACTTTCAGAGCTCTTATTGGCTGATATATAGTTTTTATCCATCTAAAAGCTCAAGCTAACCATGTTTATCTTTACTTTGTAAATCAAAGAGAAAGTATTTTCCTTCTGTGTGTGTTTATGGCTTTCCCTCTTTCCTTAGCGCTTCTCAGCTTCCACAAAAAACAGTGGAAGCCCAGGGAAAGCCGGGGAAAAGCCATCCACTCCAGATGTGTAGAAGAGAGAGAGAGGGAGAGAGAGTATGTGTGTGTGTGTGTGTGTGTGTGTGTGTGTGTGTGTGTGTGTGTATTTGTAAGATAGGAGGGGGAAAGGGATTGATTCTTTCTCTAATTTGCTTGCAGGAAATCTAAAAAATGTATCTTCCAGCAGGGCCTGGCGTTCTCCTTCTGTACCTGTCTAGCTATCTGAGAGGCAAAAGAATATGATTGATAGTTTGGAATACTCTGAAATTTTGGTTATCTTTCTACTTAATCGTTGGCCAGATATATGCTTAAAAAGATTTGCATGATGTATATATTTTTTATAAATTAAAATATAAGACATTTTTCCTTTCCTTAGTAGAATTATCCTGAAATGTATCCCCTTACTATTTTTTTTACTTGCTTTTTTTTTTTTCTGATTTTATCATTTCTCAAGAATTGACATGTCCGTGTAAAAGAAGTGCTCGATTTCTTTTATATCCTACGCTGAATAATATAGGATATATAAGAAATGTAACACAAATTACTTTGGGATCGTTAGTGAAAAAGATCCTCTTTTCCTTCAAGTGCTGGGCTAGAGCGGCTCACGCCCAGTATTAGCGGGTGCTTAATGGTTCTTTGATGAATGACCACATGTGTTGCATTTTCTTCGCCTTCATTATATGCTTATCTATCTGTTCATTCATCTGCTAACTTTCTAAAATAAATACATGAAAGCCTTTGGAAAATTGAGATAAAACTAAAACTAACCATTTTAAAGTGAACAATTCAGTTACATTTAGTATATTCACAATATTGTATAGCCACCATCTCTGTCTAGTTCTAAAACATTTTTATCATCCCCAAATGGAAACAGTGTTCCCTTAAGCAGTCTCCTCTTCCTCCTCCTCCCCCAAGCCCTCGCAACCACCAGTCTGCATTCTGGCTCTGTGAATTGATCTATTCTAGATGTTTCATACAAGTGGAATCATATAACATGTGGCCTATTTGTGTCTAGATTCTTTCACTTAATACCGTTTTGAGATTCATGCATGTTGTAGCATGTATCAGTATTTCATTCCTGTTTTATGGCTGAATGATATTTCATTGTATGTGTATACTATAATACAATCTGTTTATCCATTCTTCTGTTGATGGGCATTTGGGCTGTTTCTACCTTTTGGTTATTGTGAATAATACTGCTATGAGTATACATGCACAAGTATTAGTTTGAGTACTGTTTTTCAGTTATTTTGGATATATGCTTTGGAGTGGAATTGCTGGGTCATATGGTAATTCTATGTTTAACTTTTTGAGGAACCCCCAAACATTTTTTCCCAGTGACTAAGCCATTTTGCATTCCTGCCAGCAACGTACAAGGATTCCAATTCTCCAGATCCTCGCCAACACTTATTTTCCTTTTTAAAGAAATTATAGACATTCTAGTGGATGTGAATTGGTATCTCATTGTGCTTTTGATTTGCATTTCCTTAATGACTAATGACAGAGAGAGCATCTTTTCCTGGGCTTGTTGGCTGTTTGTATATTTTCTTTGAGTAAATATCTGTTCATGTCCTTTGCCTATTTTTTAATTGGGTTGTTCATCTTTTGTTGTTGAGTTCACTGAGTTTTAATCACCTGTCACATGTAGTGCTTTGCATTTGGCACTCAGAAAATGAGAAAGGAAGCAAAGAGCAGCCTCTCCCTTCGAAAGAGGTCACTGGTAGTGAGGCACACACTGAGTATGTTGAATGTTGCGTTTTAGATTATTTTTATTAGTGCAATATAAAGCAAAAATGTTTCAGTAATTAATACGATTGGGCAGGCATTTTGTACCCTTGAGTATTCATAATGAAGTTTGTCCCACCTTTGTTATGAAGGGAGTTGAATGTACAGTGTTACCCGCTCTGTTGTTTCTCATACATCTAAACCAGCGTTTTGAACACCTTGACAACTGTTTTATTTCATCTCATCTTACTTACTAGCTGTCTTATATAACGGAGTTACCTGGGGGTAGGAACAACTGTGAAATTTCCCTATTTGACTTTCTAAGAAGTAACTATATATGTCTCATGTATTATCTTTGCTTTCTTTTCAGAGATTTATGGAGAATAGCAGCATAATTGCTTGCTATAATGAACTGATTCAAATAGAACATGGGGAAGTTCGCTCACAGTTCAAATTACGGTACGTAGCAAAATAAGACAGTACCACAAGGTTAACAATTCTTTAGAACATCTTATCTGTTGACAGGCTGATGTTCACAGGTCCATAGCTGAATCCCAGGGATATGGAAATCTTTAAAAAGGTGATGGCAGCTGATAAACAGCAGTATCTAAACTGGGGGGCCCTTAATATAATGAAATAAATTGAAAGCATTTCTTCTTTTGACAATATTTTCCACCATTTACAATGTTTTAAAATTATAGCCTAGGAAAATGTTTATTTTTTGCACAATTAGATTAAGAATAGCCTTTAAGGTTTACTGTCTACTTCTTACTTTCAATATTTATAAATTTTTACTTGAATTGTTACAGATAGGGCAAACCAATGGGTATATTTATTATGCTAACCATTATAATTGCTGTGTAACCACAATAGCAATTCGTGAAGTCTGTTTGTGGCCTCAGTATGCAAAAAGGATCTTCAAGAAACTGATTTTAATTCTCTGTACAGGTATATAGTGCGTTGGGAGCAGGCTTCTCCCTGGTGCTCAGTCCTGGGGTGGGATTCTCCTAGTGTCTGGCAGCTGGCCAGAATGCTGGATTGTTGGATGTTCTGCTTCTGAACCCTCTTAGAATATCAGGGTCCTCGTTCCTGCCTGATTTTGCTCAGGCTCCACTCTGGCATGCTTTCTGAACCCTGATTTCTTCAACCCCTCCTCCTCAAGCCAGAGAACCTGGGAAAGACAGGCTCTTCTCCACCCGTGGAACATGGGAAGGGCCAGTCCCCAACAGCTTCAGGCTGTAGGATGCCAGAAAATTCCCTGGCATAGGCCTCTCTCTGGCCAACCGAGAGGTCATGGACAGTTTCAGGCTCAACACAAAATAAGACAGCATCCCACTGTAATGATTATACTTCTTGATTATGTATTTTCATTCAGATGACAAAACCCTTTTTAAACTTAATTCTCTGTCCTTGGAAGCGAAATGAATTGGCATAAGTCCATTGCAGCAGGTTTTCCCAGGGTGCACCCTGGTCGAGGAGGTCGCTTTTTGGTGGATAGAGAGCTCTAAGAAACGGTGTGAGCATAAACAGTCACTTCCTTCGGTGAAAAAGAATCTCAAACCAGTGAGAATTCAGAAATCTTGGGAATTCAGGTATTTTAACAGCCTTTGGTAAGGAATACTGCCAAAGACTTTTCTTTTTATTTTGTAGGATAATTCAAATTTATCAAAGTGCTTTTGTATAGTGTTTAAAATTTTGTATTCAGGAAAAAAAAATTTTGATAAAAAAATGAAAACAGACATACTTGTGATCAGATTGACAAAAGTAACATGCCCATATATTCTGTATATTCCTTACTTTGGGAAAGCATTCAGGGTATTCAATTTCTTTTTATTTATTTTAATTGAGGTAAACTATACATATCTAATTCACCATCTTTACTGTGTTAAGTGTAAAGTTCAGTGGCAATAAATACATTTTTATTCTTTTTTTTGATTTTAGTATATTACATGGGTACAAACGTTTAGGTTACGTATATTGCCTTTGCCCCGCCCGAGTCAGAGCTTCAAGCATGTCCATCCCCCAGACGGTGCACATGCACCCATTAGGTGTGAATATACCCATCCCCTCTTCCCCACTCCCACCTGTCCAACACCCGATGAATGTCATTACTATATGTGCACATAAAGTGTTGATCAATTAATACCAATTTGACAGTGAGTAGAGGTGCTTGTTTTTCCATTCTTGTGATACTTCACTTAGTAGAATGGGCTCCAGCTCTATCCAGGATAATACAAGAGGTGCAAGATCACTTGGTTTTTTGAGGCTGAGTAGAACTCCATGGTATACACATACCACATTTTATTAATCCACTCGTGTATTGATGGGCACTTGGGTTGTTTCCACATCTTTGCAATTGTGAATTGTGCCGCTATAAACATTCTAGTGCAGATATCTTTTTTATGGAATGTCTTTTTCCTTTGGGTGGATGCCCAGTAATGGAATTGCTGGATCAAATGGTAAGGTCTTCTTTTAGCTCTTTGAGGTAGCTGCATATTACTTTCCACAGAGGTTGTACTAGTTTGCAGTCCCATCAGCAGTGTATGAGTGTTCCTATCTCTCCGCATCCACACCAACATTTATCGTTTTGGGACTTTTTGATAA